ACTCCAATTCACTCTTATAAAGGAATGTCTTTTTATGAAGTATGTTAAAAGTGCACTCTTCTTAGTGAAGCAGGCTGACTGTTATTATAACACATTGTGTCCTAACCAGGCGCAATGTTCCCAGCGACAAGTAGTTTTGACACATTCCCACTCCTAACTTGTACAACTTTAACGCTTGGTCACTTTTTTTTTAGCAGGTCTTTGGTCATTTTTCGACACGCAGTGTCCTAATTATTACATAAAGTCAATGGTCACTTTATTAGGAACAGTTTTTGCCTTCACTGCTGACTTATTTGTTGTGGCACAAAATAATTAAGGTTTTGAAAACATTCCTCAGGCAATTTGGACCATACTAACACAAAAGTGTCACATTACATTTTTTTATTTTTTGGATGATGATTCATCAGCGATTAAAACAACTTGTATAAATCCAGGGTTGCAGTCTTATATCTTTAATTCATATAACAACTGTTGCATTGTGGATAAATACATTTGTGTGCACTAACACCTAGTTTATCTGAGGTATAAGACATGATTACTATTGTAAAGGCCATTCTCAGGGGTAAAAACCAGTCAATTCACTAAATTCCTCCATTCTTCAGAAGACTTGGAATACAATACAAGGGCTCAGCATGTAGAGTTGGGTTATAATTCGGAAATTATCACAATATATATATATATATATATATTTTTTTTTTTTTATTATAAAAACGATAACGGCAGTTTGATAAATGCTCAATAATATTTATACTTTGCTTAACGCTGCGGAGGCATTTTGCAGCCAACACTTCTGGTCGCACACGTTGTACAAGTTTACAGCCATACAGTTGTCACCGACTCGGTCCCAGTCATTCCCCTCGCTGACCAGCAGAGGTCACCATCTCCGGACTTCTAACCATTACGTCATCCATTTCACCTGATCCCAGCACACCTGTTCTCCATTCCACTAATGACCCACATACCACATATAAGCATCTCACACACACACTTCAGTGCGAAGTCTTGTTTAGCCCCGGCCAGCATTTCTGAGCGTTCTATCCTGCCTGATCTCCCGTTTACCACTTCAGCCCGTTTCACGACTCTGCTCTGTCTTCTGCCTGCCCACGACCAAAGCCTGTTTCCTCGGACTCTGATTCTCGCTGCCTGCCCCTGACCAAAGCCTGTTACACGGACTCTGAATCACGCTGCCTGCCTCTGACCCAAGCCTGGTAATCACACTGCGTCTGTTATCTGCTAAGTCTCCTTTGATGTGTATGTTGTATGTCCGCACAGCCGTGCGAGTTGTTGATGTTTAAGTGTGACTTAATAAATACTGCAAAATGGATCCCTCCGTGTCAGTCTCCCCGTTACAACAGTGTTAGTTGCACTTGGAGGAGTAGGAAAAAATAAGTAAAAGAATAAGGTCACAGTCACAGACACTGTTGACAAGAAACATCACTAAACTACAGTAGTCGTGGAGCTACTTTGTTTTTTTTACAATCCGACACAAAACAAAGCAACGTGCACTTCAAAGTGCGCAGACGACTCGTGCCATCAAAAACAGGCAACTCCACAAACCTGTTTCCTCATTAAAACAATGCCACCCTCGTGAAGATGCTAAGAAAGACCCAAACAAGTGTTGGTAAACCAACTAAAACAGCAAATGCTAAAAAAGGATTAAGATTGCTTTTTTGTTTATTATTTTTTATTTATATTGTCAAACAGCTAAAACATTTCACAAAATGAGTTGAATCAGCTGCACAAAGGGATTGGCATGCTAAAAAATCCTTTGAATTGACAGATATAAAGATTTGACATTTATTATGATAATTATCGATATTGACTGATATGAAATAAATGATCGTGATAATTTATTTTGCCATATCGCCCAGCTCAAAGTACATGCCTCACAAATCTCTCTTTTAAATAAATATTTTTTATAGGATGCTTTGCAATATTTTATTTTTGTGCCTATACATTAGTTTAGTCAGTACTGAAGCCAATTCTGCAGCAAATCTAACAAAAATTAGTAGCCCAATTTATATGTTAAAATATAACACAAAAATATTACATAATTTTGTTTTAAAAAGAGCAAAAATCAAGAGAAACTAAAATTTGCATGAATTTAAATGTATTGTCTATTTCTAAAGATGTTCATTGGCTAAAATATGATTTTAATAAACAATATATGTTTAATAAATCTATTTAGTTCAAATGCACCAAATTATATTAACTATATTCACATTGAAGAAATGGATAAAAATGTTTATGTTCTAAATTAGGTTAAATTGGGTAGTTTTCTCTCAACATGACTTTATTGGTATTTGATAGGTATAATTACATTGTTTACAAATGCAAAGAAGAACAATAAAAGGCACATTTATTTGGCACACAAGGCAAAGTGACCCATTAAAAACTAACCTTAAATTAAGGTTAAGGTAAAAGGTAAAAACCTTGTAATAAATACAATGGTTTTGCTACACTATAACTATAGTCTAACCAAGGTATCTGTATTACTTTATACTATAAACTGTGGTTACTACACTTTTACAACAATAAAAACAGGATGATTCATTTTGAAAAGGGGCTAAATAATGGAGTACACTGCATGTTAAAAATATGACACCAAAGATTAACCCTGTATAACCCGAACTTCAAGTTTAAAGTGAGAACATGTTGAGCAGTTTGATGTCCCTAAAAAGCAAAATAGCTGCAAAATGCCACACAATCACAGCCATTTATGGCTAATTTATAAACCTAAAAACATCCTGTCACTAGCCACACCTGAGCTGCTAGCATCCTCCTTTTAGCACTAGCTGATTTATCGCATTGTGTTTGGTTAGGACACAAGTATTTGCTTTTGTAAAATTGTTGGATTGCATCCCATAAAAAGAGGGATTGTGAAGTTTAACACCTTTGAAGGGCTCAATCGCTGATCAGACAGCTTTAGTCCCTCAAACACTGATCAGACGGCAGCATTAGCCGCTGTTCTGTCATCCACTTGTATGCTAACTGATAACATGCTCAGGCTGAGATGATGTGCTGAAACCAAATACCTGTTCTCGTTCCTTAAAAACCCAGCCGCCAATTTGAAAGACGAGAGGGAAGAAAAGGGTTCATGAAGATGGAGTTGGTCAATCACATGTTACATGGAAAGAGAAGTTAGTGCTAGAGTCGCTGCATAAGCCTTAGCATAGCGAAGCTATTAGTTATTGAACATCTGTGGTCTCAAAGAATTAGCTTTGACTAACTGTTTTACGTGAGAAATGGCTAAAAAGGGGCATGACCAGTTTTAATAAACATGATTTTGTCAAAACCGTTAGAGAATGTTTTATATTAGTGATTTAGAGCAGTGTTTCTCAACCACGTTCCTGGAGGCCCACCAACACTGCATGTTTTGGATGTCTCCTTTGTCTGTCACACCCATAACAGGTCTTTCAGTCTTTGCTAAAGAGCTGATGATCTAATTCAGGTGTGTTTGGTTAAGGAGACATGGACAATGTGCAGAGCTGGTGGTCTTGTGGTTGACAAACCCTGATTTAGAGGATTATGACAAAATAAAGTATAAATATGTGAAATGTAAAAGATTTTACACCAAACATCAAAGTTAAAAGCTGCTAGCATATTTAGCTCATTACAATGGCACAGCAATCTACACTGTCATCCAATATATACAATGTCAGGTTTCCCAACACTGCATCCGCAACATGACGGATAGCTATAAGCTTTTTGGACTAGCAAACTTTTTGTACTCAGGTTGTCGTATATATTGAAATTTGAAACACACACTTGCAACAAAATGATAAATAGATGTTGGTTTTTAAACATTTCCCCAATGAACATCCGCTGATGTAAACAAAAGCCAACGGGATCAGAGTGGGACCAAGCTGGACGCTCACCCTAATCCCCCCGGCAATTACAATTGGCTTAAGATTGGCAATGAAATGTACCAAGCAGAACATGGGAATTTTTTTTTTAAAAAGTCATCGAGCACCAGTGTTTTTTTTTTAACCTGTTTAAAGTTATTTTATTTCATATAAAAAATGCCATGGTAATTAAGTTAAACATGTTGGACTGCTAAAATCACACACACACACACACACACACACACACACACACACACACACACACACACACACACACACTTTTATTAGTAATTACTAAATATAATTACATTTTTCTAATAGTATTTAAAAATATAAATTTTTAGTTTTTTATATTTATATATGTTTAACATATAATTGAGCTTGTTTAATAAAACAATACAATATGGTCAGTTTTTGTTTTATTTTTATCAAAATATTTTTATAAAATGAAGAATTAAATTTAAATAAGACTTTGCAAATATAATCTGAATCAAATATAAATCTTTGATTTATCAAATATAATCTTGAAGTCATCAAAAGTTACTTATAAAAATATTAATAAATATATAAAGAATACTAAAGTAACACTGTGGAATGCTGGATGCTACTGTTTGTTGAGGCATTTTAAAGTTTGAAGTTGCACTGATTTCCTCTTGCCATTATTACAGGGTTTGCACAGTTACGAGCTCAGTCTGCTATAGAGATGTGATGTGGATCAGTACAGAACTCATTTACAGAAGCTGATGTTTCAGAGGAGGCAGATCAGACGCTCACTAGAGAGTCTTTAACTTCATGACAACCGCAGTTTCCAGAGGCTCGACAGCACTGATTTCCAGCCTCTGGTCATTGAACTGAGAAGTATTACACTTCAGCAAGTAAAACAGAGGTCTCATTAAATGTAATGTTTATGTCACTTGCTGTTTAGTATTGCTTTGGTTGAAATGGTTAGATGTTATTATTTGTTTAAAATTAGAAAGAGATAGATATTTTCCCCTCGGCGTAGTGAGGGCTATTTTCGGAACCTGTAATGGGTGAAACAAAATAATTCATCAACAGCATAAACAGCACAGAAGGCATATAAACACTAAGGCATATGATATACAATGCTCTTCTCTCCTAATTTCTTATTTGAGTGATCAAAAGTGTCAAACTTACTGATAGTCAAATGATCCATCTTGGTCTTTATGATCGACGGGATCTAAGGGGAGGTCTTTCTTCTCTCTCACTGATAACAAAATACATATAAGTCATGTTAAAAATATATTTTACATTGCATATACATTTCAAGTGGTTCAAAGCTATTAATGTAAAGAAATTATTCCCAAACATAACCAAGGCGAATTACTACATTTTTCAGAGCAAGGTTCCTAAGTACAATTATCATAAAAATATTAAAGAAAATAAAACTAATTTCATCTGAATATGGTTCCTCATTCAAAAATAAAACAATAAAAATCGTGTCTTTTTCAATAAAATGAAATAAAATATTTTTACATCACATCGGCTATTGATCAACCAACATATATAGCTCAAGACAAAACGATTAGCCCCTTTAAAAAAAACCCCCAAAGTTTAAGTTTTTATCTAACTATCAAAATCACCAGTGATCTAATCCAGCAGATCGCTGGAGAACTACACATCTGTAACTGAACTGGATGATAAATGCCTGCACCTCACACACACCAGCTCCTGATTCCCCTTGATTACAGACATAGTTGGAAGCTCATAAAGGGCTGATTTTCAGAATTATATATGCATTGCACTCACACATACACATTGCTGAGTCTTGTTATCCTGTAGTATTACCAAGCATTAGGAATTCCTTTTGTCTAGTCTATCCGTGCCTGTTGATTTTCTTCTTGTTTTTGTCTGGGACCCCGACTACTCTTCTGGATTGCCCTTAAAGTTCTGCTAAAGTTCTGCTTGGACTGTCTATTTGTGTTTAAGTTTAATAAAGGCGCTGCATTTGGATCCTCAACTCCGTTGTCACCCTACATACTGTTATACCAACAGATTTTAAAATTATAACAGTTTTAATAAATTATTTATTTCTTTTTTCTTCGTCATGATGACAATGCATAATACTTCAATAGTTTTTTTGGCAGCTACTATTATTTAGCAACATAAAGGCTCAACTAGGTTACTCAGACAGCGGGCAGCTAGCTCTCTGCAACTCGCACATGGTCGCCCACTGAAGCTAAGTAGGGCTGTGCCCGGTCAGTAAAGCTAGGTTTCTGTTGGACGTGTTGTTAGTGAGACCAACAGGGGGTGCTTAACCTGTAGTCTGTGTGGGACCTAATGCCCCAGTAAATTGATGGGGACTCTATACTGCTCAGTGGATAAGACTCTCTGTGGTCTTTAAAAATACCAGGATGTCCCTTGAAAAGAGTAGGGGTTTAACCCTGACATCCTGGTGAAATTTGCCTACTGGCTTCTGTCCATCATGGTCTTCTAACCATCCCAAAATCATAATTGGCTTCATCACTCTGTCTCCTTTCCATCAATGTCTGGTGTGTGGTGTGCGGTCTGGCGCAATATGGCTGCCGTTGCGATATCCAGGTGGATGCTGTACACTGGTGGTGGATGAGGAGATTCCCCCCAAAAATGTGTGTAGAGACTTTTGAGTTTTCCAGAAAAGTGCTATATAAATGTAAGGAATTATTATTATTATTATTATTATTATTATTATTATTCAGGTTAACTAGGCAAGTTGGGTTAATTAGGCAAATGATTGGAAAACAATAGTTTGTTCTGTTGACCTTAAAATGATTTTTAATTACAATTTTTTAAGGAGGACTAATAATTGTACTTTTAATATAGTAATGAACTATGCTGTTTGTTTACCTGGGTATTTTCCTCCACGACTCCTCTTGATGAAACAAACAATGAGCAGAATCAGAACCAATAAAGCGACGGCACACATCAACCCAATGAACCAGCCCTGAGTAGCGATGTCTTCCTGCTCCTTATAGGCTGTTAACATACAAACACAGAAGGAGACAAGAGAGAAAAAGAGAAGCACACAATAAAATGTTTAAACTTTACAACATCAAGAATAGAAGAAGCAACTTCCACAGATCATCTCACACATTAAAAACCTGGTTCTGTTCCTGCATGATTTATAGAGGCAGGAGAACAGCTGAATGCAGAAACACCAAAGCGAGAGCCTAATAAATCTCACTGACTCTCAGCAACATGCTGGAGTCATTTGACAGCCATCCTTTATCAAAAACACATTAGCAGTGAGAACATTGGTTCTGGATTTGAATTACCCATCCTGATAATAACATCAGAGCACAGGAAGAGTTATCTGATGAAAACGGAAACCCGGTAAAAGCCAGCAGCAAATACTCTCCTTTTCAAAAAGCACTTGTTTTAATAGTGGCACACTTGGTCTTTCCTGATATTATAAAGTGGTCAGAGAGACGATACGATATTTTGTGAGATGATGAGATTTTTTTAAAAGATGTCTTTTATGCTCAAAAGAACATTAAGAAATTGTATATTCTTTAGCATTATTACAATTTCAAACACTATCTGTTTTCTATTCAAATGTATATAAAAAAAGGAATTTATTCCTGTGACTCCAAGCTATATGTCTGCATCATCAATAGAAACTCTAAAGTCTAAAGTGTCCCATAATGTTTTAGAAACCATTCTAATATGCTGAAAAAAATATATTATCAATGTTGAAATTACACCAGCATTCTATCACTACTTTCCTGTCTGCCTGGTATGCTTGAATGTTCCACTATTTGAAATATTGTTAATACTTTTATTCTCTTTTCTCCATTTATGTTAAGCTGCTTTTTGACAGTTAAAAGCTAATGACAAAACTAAGGCTCATTTAAATAACTCTAAAATGCTGATTAAAAAAAAAAAAGCATTACTATCAAGGTTGACAACTGTTGAGCTGCTTTATTAAAAATTATGAATGTTTAGATGAATAGAAAGTTTAAAAGAACATAATTTATTCCAAATATATATTTTAACAATCTTTACTATTAATTTGTATTAATTTGATGCACAAATTTGAAAAAATAAATTAAATGAAAATATAGAATAAAATAAAATAATTTTACATTAATACAGGGCAACAAATGGGTTCATTCAAACTGATCTGATTTAAGCAAATAAATTATAAACCTTTAAGGACAGTTGGTTAGCTCTGAAGTTAATCATTTGAATTAACAAATCATATCTCTTCAAATTCAACTTTTAATTCAACTTTTAAAATCAAAACAAGCAAACAAACAAAAAACATAAGTGTTTAAGTAAAATTTGTGCAGAAAAACTACATTACCCATGATGCTGTAAAATGCAGAAAATTAAGCAATCCGATAAAGCAATCAGAGTATCACTGAGAAACATGTGGCAGCACTTAAGCTCCACCCACTTCTTTGAATCATCACAAATAGCATAAACAAGCCATTCTCCATACACTCCTACTACGTATATGCATATTTTCCAATACACGTGAAATATATTATTTTTATAGATAAAACCAACAATTTTAAATGAATAATTGTATTTTTCTCATTTGATTTTTTTTTGTCTAATTCTCAAACTTATAATTCACATTGTACCTGGTTAGTTGAGTAGGGTCTCTCTGTGGACTGCAAGACAGGGATGTAACATGAAGGTGCCTTAAGGGCGTAACTTGTAGTATGTTAGAGGCGTAACTTGAAGTTATGGAGACATGTCAAAACTCTGTTGTCGGCAAGATGGGGCTGTACATCAGTCAATAATGACTACACCTACTCCACACCCAAACCCAACCATCACAGTTATTAACGTCTATTCCAACCACAACCTTAATCCCAACCATCACAGTTATCAACATCTACACCTTCCCCAAACCTAAACACAACTATCACAGTTATTAACATCTACACCTTCCCCAAACCTAATCCCAACCATCACAGTTATTAACATCTACACCTTCCCCAAACCTAAACACAACTATCACAGTTATTAACATCTACACCTTCCCCAAACCTAATCCCAACCATCACAGTTATTAACATCTACACCTTCCCCAAACCTAATCCCAACCATCACAGTTATTAACATCTACACCTTCTCCAAACCTAAACACATCCATTACAGTTATTAACATCTATACCAGGGGTGTCCAAATTCTGTCCTGGAGGGCTGGTGTCCTGTAGATTTTAGCTCCAACTTAGAAAACCTAGTAAGAGCTTGATTAACTAGCCCAGGTGTCTTAGATTGGGGTTGGGACTAAACTTTGCAGGACACCGGCCCTCCTGGTCCAAGTTTGGACACCCCTGGTCTATACCTACCACAACCCTAAACCCAACCATCATCGTTATTAATGTCTACACCTTCTCCAAACCTAAACCTAACCATCACACACTGTAAAAAACCATCCTTAATTTTACGGTTTATTTCCGGCAGCTGGAGTGCCGATAAAAAAAAGAGTAAAATGACAGCCGGTAAATAACATAAATTTACTGAAAAATAACAGAGGTTGAATTACAGAAATGTACCAGAAATTTACATTTAAGGAAATTTCTGTAATGTAATGTTCGTTATTGTACAGTAAGTTTCTGTAATTTAACAGACGTAATTTTACATTTTTACTCCAGCTGCCAGAAATAAACTGCCGTAAATTTATGGATTTTTAAAAAAGTTTTAACGTACAGCATGAGTTGTGGAGACTTTCATACTTGACATGCTTGCTATTGTACTGTTCCCCTTCGGTTGGGGAACTTCAGTGCCATGAATGGGAGGATTCGGATCAGAAGCCGCTTATCTGGAGAGTATTGAACGGGCCAATGAATGAAATTAATTGGCAGCGTAAGCTTGCGCAGGTGTGCGACATCTGCAATTATCTCAGCATATAAGCACACCTGAAGCCAGCAGACGCCATCCTTTTCACTTCAGATCCTTTCTGAGTGAGTCGATGAGGGTTCCTCTTGCTGATCAGCACTTCAGAGCGAACGAGTGTGTCTCCCGGTCCAGAGTGGGTCTTCGCGGTGGCAGACGGTCGAGCTGGGTTACTCCCTTGCCTGCGGTTCTTTGGGTCCGGTCCTCCAGAGCGGTGCGTATAGTTGCAACTTTCCTAAAAGAGCAACACAGTCGTGCAGCACGTCCTTTTCAGGATGGCGCTCCGACTGTGCGTTTCTGGATGCGGGGGTTTCCTGTCTCCGGATGATGGACACGATCACTGCATTGCATGTTTGGGGGTCCAGCATGTTAATGCGGTGCTCGCGGGCGGTTCATGTCGTCATTGCGATGCCATGACCGTTGCACAGCTAAGATCGCGGCTAACTTTCGCAAGAGAGCGAGCCACCCCAGTTGCCTCCTGCTCTAAAAAAGCAGCGGGCGCTCGGGCAGATCTGAGGGTTTCAGCGGGAGCTAATCCGCCGCCCACGGGCTCGCGGACCTCTCGCTCCTCACGGCGCTCCATCCAAGCTTCGAGTGGTGAGAGTGATCCGTCTAACCAGATGGTAGCTCTCACACTCGCTGACACCGGAGATCAGATGTCCTCCGCGGCATCGGAGGGTGGGCTTTCACTGTCCGACGAAGATCCGGACCCGCTCGCCCCCTCCGGGCAGGTGAGCGCTGTCAAATCGGATCCTGAAGCAGACATGTTAGCCGTGCTTTCCCGGGCTGCTTCGGCCGTGGGGTTGGAGATGGTTTATCCCCCAGCTCCGCGGCCGGACCGACTAGATGGGTGCTACGTAGAGGACCAGAAGGCGAAGCCTTCGAAGCCTCTCGTCCCCTTCTTCCCGGAAGTGCACAGTAGGCTCACGCAGTCCTGGAGGGCACCTTTCTCTGCCCGTGCTGCGAGTGCCTCCGCCCTCACCGCCCTTGACGGCGGAGCTGCCAGGGGGTATGAGGCGATCCCGTCAGTGGAGCGCGCTATCGCGGTCAATCTTTGTCCGCGCGGCGCCTCTACGTGGCGGGGTTTGCCCCGCCTCCCGTCCAAAGCCTGTAGGTTGTCTGCCTCCCTCGGAGCCAGAGCTTATAAGGCTGCGGGCCAGGCTGCTTCTGCTTTGCACGCGATGGCCACCTACCAGCGCTACCAAGCGCAGGCGCTGGCCGAGCTGCACGAGGGCGGGTCCAACCCAAGCTTATTACATGAGCTGCGCACCGCGACCGACTATGCTCTTCGGACTACTAAGTCCGCCGCGTGTGCGCTGGGGAGGACGATGTCCACACTTGTGGTTCAGGAACGCCACCTCTGGCTAAACCTGGCCGATATGCGCGACGTTGACAAAGTTCGCTTTCTTGACTCGCCCATATCCCAGGCTGGCCTGTTCGGCGACACCGTCGGTGAATTCACCCAGGAATTCAAGGCGGTGAAAGAGCAGTCGGATGCGATGGGCAATGTCATCTATCGGCGTGGCCGTAAGCCCGCTCCGCCCGCCGAGCCATCCACTTCCGCTGTTCCTCGCCGAGGGCGCCCGCCAACGAGTGCTGCCCCGCCTGCGTTCACCTCGAAAGCAGGCAGCCCCTCCTGCCCAGGGCGCCGTTAAGTCCGGTAAACGGACCGCGAAGCGTCCCTGAGACAGGCCATCCGGAGAAGAGGAAACTTGCTCTTTCCCCGCTGGAGGGCGGGGCCCCGATAACAACGGTACTTTTCAGTGCCACCAAAACATCAGTAAAAGAGCACTTTTTCCCTTCCCCGGATGTGACTGCACGAGTTCTGCCAGTCCGGGACGCGCTGCCTTCCGGCTCGCAGACTCTACGTGCTTCGCCAGTGGCTCACGAGCGCTGGGGGGACGGTCTCCCTTTCCTCAGCCCTCCAGCCCCCTCTCCGGAGTCAGGGTGCGGAGCCAGAGCGAATCGCTCTCCTCCAGCTCTTCCGCGGGACCCTCGTGCTTCCCGGATCAGCACACCCACTCCGCGCTGCCCCACCGCTGGTACGTCAGCGATTGTAGCGATGACTCCATTAGCGAGGGCTCTGCCTGCCTGGTTAGCGCGGGCCAGCCCCTCGCGGTGGC